GGCGGCCGCTCGGGGGGGGGGGGTTCATCAGGGGGCTGTCAGGATCAAGGAGGCCCTGAGGGATAGCATCCACCCCGAGGAGCCCTCAGAGTCTCTCCGGTCCTCCCCACCAGGGGCTCATGCCCCATTCCTCCCTCTCATCCTTCCACTCACCCCTTCCTAGCCCCCCTTCCTGATGTCAAATAAAAGACACGTATGTTCAAAAATAGAAACTGGGTTTATTGAACAAAACTGGGAGGGGGGGAGGATTAACCTCTGTGGAGACTGGGAAAAGGAGCTGGGAGAGGGGAAGAGAGAGGGTGGAAGAGGGGAGGGGGAAACCTGGGAGGAGGGAGCTGGAAGGGGGAAGCAAAGGGAAGAAGGTGGAGGGGAAACTCAGGACTCAGGGTTGGGTGGGTCTCACTGGACCAACTTGATTTTCATGCAAACCTGCTCCTGGGTTCGCATGTGGCCTTTGGTGGCCAGGCTGGCATAGACTATCTTGCCATAGATGGTCGCATTCCTCCATCTAGTGCAGAGATCGTGGACATTGGGGGCATCCCTCACAAACCTGAATTAAGGTCCATAATCTACACCCTGGGTTAGGAAGGTGCCTGCCTTCTCCAGCCCCTGGCTGGCTCCTGGGAGCCGGCAGACTGCTCCTGGGGAGCAGTGGAGGGCTGGCTGTCAGTGGTTTGCTGGCTCATGGTTTGGGTCGACAAACCTTCTGTCGACATAGAGTGTCTAGACACATTCAGTTCTGTCGACAAAGCAAGCTGGTTTGTCGACAAAACCCTGTAGTCTTGACGCAACCCTACAGGCAATAACACCTTCTGTCGACAGAACTTTGTCGACAGAAGGTGTTATGCCTCGTAAAATGAGGTTTACCAGCGTCGACAAAACTGCTGAGTTCTGTCGACGTTATGTTGACAGAACTCAGCGGTAGTGTAGACGCAGGTATAGTTTTGTCGACAAAAGTCCACTTTTGTCGACAAAACTCAGTAGTCTAGACACACCCTAAGTTTTCCTGGTTGTGCCCAGAGTGGCCACCAGGGCTCCCTGGGAAGGGCTGGAGGCCCCCTATTTCAAATTAAGTGTCTACACAGCACTTAATTCAAAATTGCTATTTCGAATTTGGCGTTACTCCTCATAGAATGAGGTTTACCAAATTCGAAATAAGGGCTCTGCTATTTTGAATTTATTTCGAAATAGCGATTTGCCTGTGTAGATGCTATTAAAGTAAATTCAAAATAACTCCTGTTATTTCGAACTAACTTTGTAGTGTAGACATACCCCAGTAGACTGTGGCTAGCGAAGTCTATTCTTTCCTTCCCAGTGGGCTTTTGCCCCTCCCCGCACAGCTCAGTGACAGTCTGACCCAGGGTCCCCAGAGTCCCTCTGGTCCACAGAGGACAGTGGCAAACAGGCTGCACAGTCCCTGGGGGCATGAGATTGGGTCCTCTGCCTCACTGACTCAATGCTCCCTTGGGCTGGACTGGCCAGAGCTGAGACCTGCAGCAATGTCCAGGGTCACAGAAAGGGCAGGACAGACAATGCACAGAGAGATGTGATAGAGACTGGGGAGGTGAGGCTAGAAGGTTCCTGGGTGTCTCAGGGACACAGTCGGAGCCCAGATCCAGCCCCCACCCAGAACCAGGGGCTGACTCTCTCCCCAGGGAAGGAGCCCGGCGGGAAAGTGAAGATCGGGGCCTCGTCACCAGCATCGATAAATGTCACCTGCCCCTGGTCACAGTCCAGACAAACCCGGATCCTGCTGGGGATCCGGCCCCGGGGCAGGAGGGTTCCACGTCCAGTGAGAGCCAGGAATTGACCCTCCCACCGCTGCACAGCCCAGATCCCACTCTTAGGGCTCAGGCTGATCCCTCCCTTCCTGCTCACAGACTCTCTGGCCACCCCCACGGCCCAGCGTTCCCCCACCTCCGCCTCCCAGCAATGTCTCCCCGAGGTGAATTCCTCACAGCCCAGCACACAGGACACAGAGTCAAATCTCTCCAGGTTGTCGGGCAGTGTCTGTGCTGTGTCTGCCTGTCTCACACGTTTCCGATCCTCAGACAGGACGAGGTTGGGATGAGCCGTGTCTGGATCCAGAGTCACAGTCGCTGGGGAGAGAGAATCAGGGCGTGAGGGGCAGAGCTCAGCCCTGGGGGCGGCTGGGGCCATTTCTCACCCTCCCCAGCAGCCCTGTTGTGGCTGGGACAGGCCTGGGCCCCAGGGAACTGCCTCTGCCCTGGGCCCTGAGACTGAGCCGAGCTGTCACTGCAGCGCCTCCGCCTGGTTGGTGTGCAGAGGCTGCAGCCTCCTGCCCCCAGCTCGGGCTGCTCCACCCCCAGGGCCAGGCCCAGAGCAGGAGGGTTTGGAGGAAGGGGGGGCAGAGGAGGCAGGTTCCAGCTTTAACCCCCAGAGGGAAACTCCCTCCCCTGCTGCAGCCTCCACCCCCCGCCCAGGGCACAGAGGGGAGGGGGCAGCGCGGGGGAAGAGCCGCCTCACCCCAGAGAGCAGGGCCTGGGCATTGGGTGGGGCAGCACCAGCTCCAGACCAGAGAGAAAGGAGGAGGTTAAAGTGTGTGGGGGGGGAAGGGTGTCTGGCCAACCCACTTTTAAGAGTAGGGGGCATGGCCAGAGTTACAGGGAACAGCCCCCATGGGAGAGCCCAGTCTCCTGCCCAGAGGAAAGGCCGGAGGGGACGAAGAGCAATGGGGAGCCCCCTGTATGCAGTGAAGCAGAGGGAGGGAGCAGGGCAGGGAGCTCCGTGTGGGTGCTGCTCAGGGAGGGTTTCTGTGCAGCAGCCTGGGCAGGAACTCAGCCCCACGGCTGGTCTGAGGCATATTAGTGTGATGTCAGCACGGAATCCCCCCAGGAGTTCTGGAATCTTGACAGAAGTGGGGGGGGGGCACAAGGTCCATCAGCCTTTGGCCCCACCCCCTTAATGATCTCGCTCCCTCCTCCTCTTCCACCCTGGCCGGTGTGGGAGCCTTGGCCACTTTGGAGACCCCCTGACCCTCCACCTGCCCTGGGCCAAGGACAGGGGGCCCAAGAGCAGGCCCTGGTCCATGTCCCCCCGCCAGAGTGCGCCATCCAGGGCATCCTGGGCTGAAGAGGAGACAACTCAGCTCTGGCTTCTGGCCTGGCCATGGATCAGGCTTGGGAGAAGGGTGGGGCCCCTTGGAGAGACCAGCTCAGGGAAGTTCATGGCGGGGGAACTGAACAGCTGCCTCACCATGAAGGACAGTTACTGCCTGCGATGCTCCAGGCCTGCCCTGGGCTTGCAGTTTGGAGGGGCAAGATGGCCCCTTGCCCCCAAACTATGCCCAGGTTAAAGTGCAGGGGTGGGGTGTGGCCAACCCACTTTTAAGAGGAGGGGGGCATGGCCAGTGTTCCCTCTAATGTTTATGTCCATGTGGCTGTGGAGGTGATGCCACAGAACAAAAGACACTCCACACTGGCTTCCCTGGGCGGCTCCTGGTCAGCGGTGCTAAGGCCAGCTGCCTGGCTGTCCTGAGGCACTGCACTGTGCCCTGGAGGTGGGCAGCAAGTCTGTCTCCAGTGGGAGGGGCACGCGGCTCTGAGGCCCGCTGCACACTGCTCTCACTGGCTGAAGGCCGCATGGGGCCAGCGCTCAAGGCAGGGGAGCATGTGGAGCCGAGCGGTTCCCTGTGCCTAGAAGCCAGGGCTGCTCCTGGCTATCTCCCCACAGGCTCCGGGACAGAGCTGTCATGGCCACAGCAGCTCTGAAGATGTTTTCACTGGAATTCTCTCACAATGTAAAGACAATCTCCAGCTGCAAACTCACCCAGTCTGTGCGCTCCAGAAGGCTCCCCCACTTGTGTCCCCAGGGCAGACGGCGGAGTGACTGGCGGGGGGAAGGACAAGAGAGGTGAGACTGCCTGCAAAGCTCCAGGCCTGCCCACGGCCTGCAGCTAGTGGAGTCAACGTGGCCCTTTGCCCTGAAACTATCCCCATATTAAGAAGTAGGGGGCCTGGTCATCAGATTTCTTAAAGTGGGCAGGCCATGGCCCCCAGTTCCCCTGATCCAGTGCCCCTGGGTCTCCTCACTTATCAGTGGTTTAGATTTGGGGCTGTGCACACCATAGTCGTTGGGTTTGGTTGGTAACTTTAGCTAAAATCTCAGGAAGATGTTTTCACAGGAATTCTCACATCACTTAAAGAATTTCCATCAGCAAACTCACCTTGTCTGAAAGCTCCCAAGGATTTTCCTCTTGCTCTCTCCAGTGCAGAGGGCAGAGTGTCTGGAGGGGGAAGAGATAAGAGAGGTGAGATTCCAGGCTCTCCTATTTATAACAAAAAAAACGTCTGGTAGCACTTTATAGACTAACAAACAACATGTTTTGTTAGTCTATAAAGTGCTACCAGACCATTTATTGTTTTTTTCTGTAAGGGTACATCTATATTTGCTCCCTACTCCAATCACAGCTGATTCAAACCAGGAAGTGCATGCCAGGACCCAGTAGTTCGAACCAAAGTTCTTGGTTCGAACTAATGTTACCTCTCAAAAAATGAGGCGTAACGTTAGTTCGAACCAAGGGCTTTGGTTCGAACTACTGGGTCCTGTCATGCACTTCCTGGTTTGAATCAGCTGTGATTCGGACTAGCGTGCCGGGCGAGATCTTGCTAATGAAGTGTGGGATATTTAAATCCCCGCTTCATTAGCAATTTCGGTTGCCTACATTTGCATCCCTAGTCCGAACTAAGGAGCAAATGTAGACGTACCCTAACAGACTAACTCAGCTACCCCCTAAAGCTTCTATTTATAACAGTGTCCCACCCCACACTGCTAGATCTGCATTTTGATTATGGCAGAACAAAACTGAGACAAACTCAGCTACTTAATATAAAAATATCTGAATCCTTCTACTTCCTTTCTCATTCAGGCATTGCCCAATGGAACCAACCTCCCTGCAGCCTCACACCCATCCCAAGAGAGACAAGCTGTGAGATTTACTTTTCCTCCTCATCCCCTCCCACCCGTCAGACTTGGTTTGTCTCATTGCTTTAGTCCCTTTTGTTATAATCTGAAAGCAGATCCTTCAAAGACTTTGGCATGCAAGTAACTTCTCCGACTTCAGTCCTTTTCACACTAATGGGAAGTTGCTGTGTGAAATCCTGGCTCTGACTGTAAGATGTGGGGTCTGTTTCAGCATCTCTGCAGCAAGCAGCATAATGGGCCTTGTGGAAACTGAGGCAGGAGGAGGTTGGCTCCAAGGGCCAGATTCACCCTGTACCGGCTCAAGCAGGGTGGGGAGGCCATTTGTGACCCTGCTGTTCAGTGGCTGCAGGGGCCAAGGTAGAACTTGCATAGGCCCAGCAAGAGTCACATCCCGGTTACAAAGGCCCTGCGTGCCTGGGCCAGGGAACAGAGAGCCAGAGGCCCAACTTTGCCCTGCCCATGTCCCTCTGTCCCTCCCCCCCGCATCGCATCCCCAGCCCTCTCAGGGATGCACCTTGGGCCTGCAGCTGCTGGGGAGGAAGCACAAGAGGCTCCTGTGCTGGAGGGCCCCCTCACTGAGGGGGAGAGGCTTTCTCCTTCCCTGCAGCCCATTGGCCCAGATTGGCTGCCAGAGGGGACCAGAGCTCAGTGAGGGATTGGTCCTGCCTTGGGCAGGGGGCTGGGTTCGATGACCTCCTGAGATCTCTTCTAGCTCTAGGATTCTATGAGGGGTGGGCCTATGACCTTTAATTGAGGGGCTAGATTTTGGGTGCCACCCTTTATCCTCCAGGGCTTGGGTCTCAGAGGGGCTGGGTTCCTGCAGCTCCTACTGACTCTGTCTGTGGCTTTGTGGGCTGCTCAGCCCTGGGGCACCCGCCCTGCAGCTCTCTGGTTGGGAGACACATATAAGGGCTCCAAATGAACAGATTTTAGAAAATTTGCGCCTGAACATTGTGATCATTGGTAAGTCAAAAATCGATGTCTTCTCTGCTTCCCACTAATTAGTATGTGAAGAATTGAGAACTGGTAGAAGGGATACTTTTTTCATAAGTGTGGAGAAACTGAGATTGTGCTTTTGTATTGACTGACTTGGCTTTGGCCTGGTTAGCAGTTTATAACGCGACAGAAGGGAAATGTTGCTTTAAGTGACCTTGTCATTAAGGATATACCTAGACTACATACCCCTGTTGCCAGAGGGATGCAAATTAGACATACCAAAATTGCTAATGAAGCGGGGATTTAAATATCCCGCGCTTCATTAGAATAAAAATGGCCACCACTTTTTACCAAGACGGCAATTTGCCAGCAAAAAGCGGCAGTCTAGACGGGGATCGGTGGACAAGGAAAGCCTTTTCCGACCGATCCTGTAAACCTCGCTGCACGAGGCACAAGAGATCAGTCGGAAAAGTCTTTCCTTGTTGACTGATCCCCGTCTAGAGTGCCGCTTTTTGCCAGAAAATTGCCATGGCGGCAAAAAGCGACAGTCATTTTTATTCTAATGAAGCATGGGATATTTAAATCACTGCTTCATTTGCAATGTCGGTATGTCTAATTTACATCCCTCTTGCGACAGAGGGATGTAGTTTAGACATACCCTAAGTGCTGTGTTCCTAAGTTCCTCTGTGGGACAATGATTTTTTGACCATACCAGGTGCTTACAGACAACGGACACCCAGATATTATGTCTGGACTATAGGGCTTTTGTGTAAAAACAGCTCTTTTTGCTCAAAAATCCATGGAGCGCCACACCTCAAGCATGTTTTTGTACAATAAAATTTACAGTAGATTGGCAGAACAGAGGGCTTTTTGCGGTATTGGTATTCCTCCTTCTATGAGGAATAACTCCTTTTTTCACATAAGAACATAAGAACATAAGAACGGCCGTGCTGGGTCAGACCAAAGGTCCATCCAGCCCAGTATCCTGTCTGCCGACAGTGGCCAGCACCAGGTGCCCCAGAGAGGATGGACTGAAGACAATGATCAAGCGATTTGTCTCCTGCCATCCTTCTCCAGCCTCTGACAAACAGAGGCCAGGGACACCATTTTATCCCCTGGCTAATAGCCTTTTATGAACCTAACCTCCATGAAATTATCTAGCTTCTCTTTAAACTCTATTATAGTTCACAAGATTTCTTGTGCAAAAAGGTGTGTGCAGATGGGCAACAGGAGGTTTTTGCACAAAAAGTGCCAATCAGAAAAAGCACAGGTGTCCTGGTGGCCATTCTGTTAATGGCAATCAGAGCTTTCTTGCAAGAGAGTATTCATGCAGTGTGGATGCTCTCTTGCTCAAAAGCGCATCGCTTTTGTGATGCGCTTTTGCAGCGTGGATGTGCTTTTGCGCAAGACAAGTTTTTGCAGAAGATCTCGTCTGCAAAAAGCTTCTTATGCAAAAGCCTGCAGTCTAGACGTAGCCAAAGTATCCTGCTAAAGAGCAGTTAGCAAAGTCCAGGGACATTCATGGAGAGAAGTGATCTATGCACCTCAGCCACTGCAGAGCAGTAACAAATAAATCAGAAAAGAGAATAACTTGAAAATTGCTTGGACACCAAAAGCCCTGACAATTAAAAGTTCATGAGTGTGCAGCGTATGACTTATACAAGATATTATTCATAACACATAATGGTGATGGGAACAGAACTAATCAGTATATAAGTTGGCTGCGCATATCATGGCAGACATCATCAGGAGCGGTCATAGCATCACAGGAGAAATGCATCATGACCCACTTATGCCCCAGGAGAAGGCAACTAGGCTTGTTTCTTTCTATCTGTCTGTCATTTCTCACTCTCACAGTCAGTGTAATTGCAAAGCACGTGTTTGGAACCAATAAGGGGGTTGAATTAATCAGACTGAATGACTTGTACCCCAAGTCTGTGCCATTCTCCCCCCTCTTCCATGCTTTCTGGGTACCTGCAAACTGCCTCAGCGTCTCCGACAGCACAGTCGTTTTCTGGGAGAAACCCCTGACTCGCTCGCCCAGTTCAGGAGAAATCTCCTCTGGCGGCTGGAATGGCCCCGTCTCACACCTGGGGAGAGACAACGTCACATGGGGACACTGCACCGAGTGACTCAGTTCCCCAGCTCTGGCCAGTGAGTCGCTGCTCTGCTGGGCCTGGAGTTCGAATCCTCCAGTTCTCCCAGCCCCAGAGCAGGGGCAGCGCAGCCCTTGGCCCTGCAACGTCCCCTCAAAGATCCCATGAACAGTCTGCAGCTCTGGCCTGGGGAGTCCAGCTGGGGGACGAAAAGGGAACTGAGTCTCCACGGCCAACTCACCCCTTGGCCCCCAGGCGCTGAGGGGCAGGAGGTTCCCAGGGGAAGGGCTGGAGGAATCTGCCCACTAGGGACTAGACTGAGACACCAGCTCCCCCCTCCCCAGCCCATTCCCACAGGTCTCCAAACAGCCCTCGGGTGGGACAGACTCTGGGTCCCTGCTGCCCTGGGCTGAATGTGCCCAGTGCCCAGCAGTGACAGGCCCATGTCCCACCCCACAGCCCTGAGGCAGCCAGTCCCCAGGGAGGTGACAGCTCCAGGAAACACTTGAGGTCAGATTGTGCCATGAATGGAGAACAGCAGTGCCAGGCCCATGTCCCACCCCACAGCCCTGAGGCAGCCAGTCCCCAGGGAGGTGACAGCTCCAGGAAACACTTGAGCTCAGACTGTGCCCTGAATGGGGAATTCCAGAGTCTGCTGGGCCAGGGGAGAGCCGCAGGCTGACGCTGATCAGAGATTTGTGCCCAGCCTGTGACCTTCCCCTCACATCTGGCTGCAGGGCCCTGTGGAGATGTGGTGCCAACATCAGCTCCAAGCCCTTTCCCTGCGCTGTGCAGTGTGAGGGGAGTGAGAGACACCTACCTGCTCAAGGTGCTTCTCATGTCCTAGGGGGAGAGAGAGAAAAGAACCTCAGTCCCACTGGACACACATGCGGGACCCAGGGAAGGGGACCCAGGGAAGGGATTTTGCAAACATGGGAACGAGGGGGGCTGCCCTGGCCCCAGGAACATGGATCCCCTGAGCGAATGGGGCTTTGCCATCTCTAATAGCTCTGTGCCTGTGACTCTGCAAAGCACAAGAGTCACTCACATGGCAGCAATGCACCTGCCGAGTTACACCCAGATCTGACGACTGGACCCCAGCGCTTGTTGTTCAGGAACCTCCCTTCCCTGTGTGGGGAGCTGGGACGTTTCTCCCACAGTCTCACCTGCAGGAATTCACTCGCTGGCTTCTGACACGTCCCCTCCAGCTCACCGATCTGCTCACTGAGATGGGAAATCTGAGCAGAGAGTTTCCTGACAGTGTCAGTCTGGAGCCTCCCAATCTCCTCATCCAGCTTCTTCAGCTGGGCCAGCAGGAGTCGCTCTTGTTCCTCCAGGAACTGTCGCAGCTGCTGAAACTCGGCCACAATCTTCTGCCTCTCGGCTTGTGTCTGTTTCTGTGTGAAAACAGGGAAAGGGCTGGTCAGGGGCACGGGCAGAGACTAGGACCTTTAATACCATCTATGGGTACTGGGTGAGGCATCCCTCAGTTTCCCCTTTGTCTCCTGTGTCCCTCTGAAAAAGGCGCTTTCCTGCCTGCCATGGGCAGCATGTTGTGTTGTTCATGGGTGCTGGGAATTCTCACCCAGAGCAGCAGGAACAGCACTCAGCACCAATATTCTCATTAATCGTCTTCATCCAGGTGTGGAAAAATTTTCTACATGCACTGAGGCATGTGCAAATGTGCACCACCTAGCTGTGGATATTCTGCTAATCTAGCTGGGAAGCATCTGAATTTCTCCTGCTCTGCCGCCCAAGCACTCAGTGTACAGGGAACACTGCTCAGCCCCACCCTGACACAGATACCCAGGGAGCAAACAGAAGCAACCCTGCTAAGGCAGGAAATGACAGACCCAGCAGACAGCCCTTCCCAGGGACATGCAGGGCACTGGGGAAGGATGTCTGGGAAAGCCAGAAGGGCTGGACATTAACTCATCCCCTGACATGGCAGCTCGGGGCCTGTCTGCACATGGATCTAACCCAGCAACCCATGGTCATGAAGTAACTCGCTATTAAGCCTGTTAAAGACGACTTGACTATCTGATAAGCATTTGTTTATCGGATAGTCTTTTGACTAGTCGACATTCCCCCCCCCCTTGCTGCCTCTATGGGATAAGAGGCAGTAAAGGGGGGGGGAAGAGGTACTTTAATTTGAAATCCGCTGCATAGCTTATCTGGGGATCAGTTGTGTGGTGGCTGCCCCTTTAAATCACTGCCTCTGCGCATTTTAAAAGGGCAATTGCCATGGAGCCTGGGGTCACCTGAGGACTGCCAGCTGATGCCGGGTTCCCTGCAGCATTTCCACAGAACCTGGGATCAGCTGGGGAGTCCCCAGCTGACCCTGAGGTCCAGGAAAGTACCACACCGAATCTGGGGTCAGCTGAGGACTCTCCAGGGGGTATGTCTACACTACCACCCTAGTTCGAACTAGGATGGTTAATGTAGTCATACGAACTTACAAATGAAGCCCGGGATTTGAATTTCCCAGGCTTCATTTGCATGTTGCCGGCTGCCGCCATTTTTAAATGTCCGCTAGTGCGGACTCCATGCCCACGGCTACACGCGGCACGGACTAGATAGTGCGGACTAGGATTCCTTTTCCGAACTATCGTTACACCTCGTGCATTAACCACCCTAGTTCGAACTAGGGTAGTAGTGTAGACATACCCCAGATGACTCGGTTCCTAGCGGCATGCAGCTTAGTAGCATGGAGCCCGGGGTCAGCGGGGACTATGAGTCCCCTGCTAACCCTAGGGTCCATGGCTTTGAAATGCACAAGAGCCCCCACTAGGGGCTTTTGTGCATTTCAAAGCAGACACCAGTGTGCAGCCCAGAGTCAGTGGGACGTCCTGCTGGCCCCGGGCTGTAGGCAGAGTTCCACATTCCTCCTTTGAAATGTACAAGAGATCCAGCAGGGGTTCTTGTATATTTCAAAGGAGGAATACAGAAAAACCTATGGACTAGTCAATGGAAATTCCATCAACTAGTCAACTAGTTTAATTAACGGCATTTTAACAACCTTACACCCTATCCCATCTTCCCAAGGCCACACAGGAGTCTGTCTCCAAACAGCCCCTCCCCGTGCCAGTCCCTGCCGGTCCATAGCCAGGCACCTACCAGATACTCCTGGCTTTTCCCTTCTGCTGTCGCTTTCCATCCCAGCAGCTTTTCTCTCTCCTCCCTCAGAGTCTTCAAATGGGCCTGGCATTTCCCCTGAGGAGACAGAAATGAGCCGGGAGGTTTCATTGTGAGGCTGAGAAGGGTGGGGAACGGGGCGTTTTCCCACCCACAGCCCCAGTGACTGTTGGTCCCAGTCGCTGTGTGACATCAGGGCCCCCAAGGAGAGATCTCAGGTACTGGGATTTGTGCGGAGACTAGTGGCACCGTGTATAACGGGCCGGAACTCACTCTGGGGGGTGAATCAACACATCTCTGTGTGAGAGGATTTAAATAACTGAGTGACACCAATCCCAGAAGCCACCAGGGTTTAAACGGGCTGAGAGTTGTCATGACCATGAGGGTTAGCCAGCAGCCTGGGGATTAAGGGGTTAACTCTGTCACTTCTCAAAGCCAGGTAGAGTCAGCCAATAGGAATGCAGGTAGGAATTTCAAACTGGGACAAAGACATTTGTGGGGGGGTTTCTCTCCTTTGTCCCTGAGTAGTTTGCTCTCCAGCTAGTGAGGGGGAGACAGAATGTCTCCCTCCAAGAAGAGATTCTTCACTATCTGTAGGTAGGGTAAGAGTTAGATAAATCGGTTAGGTTTTATTGTTTTATGGTTTGGGAAATGGGATCTGATGTCTGTGAATTTTTAAAAATGGGTTTTGCTCTCCTTTGTAATTAAGTCTTGGCCCATGGTGGGGTTCCCTCCCGCGAATATTGCCTTGTGACTTTACATCTAGTCATTATGCTTGCAACAGGAATATCGTGGTGATAATAAAAGTTCTTTCTCTTTTCTTTGTATTTACCTGGTATTGGTTAATTTTTGTGTCCTGGTTTTTACTTTAGGGGTGAGATTTACCAAGTGATCTCTCCCCTGATTTTTCTTATCATTACTTCGGTGTGGCAGCAGATTTTATCCCCAAAATCCAGGTTTTCAAGATTTTGGGGGGAAGTTTTATAGCAAAGCCTGGAGAGTGAAGATTTTGGGGTACTTTTGTGGTCCCCCACATCTGCCTTCATCGTGCCAGAGTGGGGATAAAGCCTTGACAAGAGTTCAGCCCTGAGGCCTGGGGACTGCCCTGGTAGGATAGAGCTGGGCTAAGCACTAGGCCAAACCCCATGAGCCAGAGGGAGGCTCAGGGGGCCAACAGCATCACTGGGAGCCTGTGCAAAGTGGCAGGGGAGGGGAGGCATGACTCTGCTCCCCAGGAAGGGTCAGGCCCGGGGACACAAGGGGCAGGGTTGGGGACAGTCGGCCCTCCGCACCGCCTGGAGTGCCCCGCGCCATGTTTCCCTCCCCCCGCAACCCTCACAGCCACCCAGCGCACTGCAGCAGTCAGTCAAGGGGCCAGAGGCACTAGCTGACAGAGCTGCTTCAGTAGCAGCTGCAGCCAGAGCCCTGGGCCCTTATGAATCACCAGACCCCAGGGCACTTGCCCCTTTGTCTCCCCCTCCCCCATCTGAGGGCCTGGGGGCCCATTTGTCTGCACAGTCCCAGTTCTGTGGGGCTCTGTCCCTGCCTGGTGGGGACTCAGCCCTGGCCATGGCTTTGTCTGGTGAGAAAGGGACAAGAGGAGTCTGAGGCTGCAGCAGGACACCTGTGAGGGTGGGGGCAGGAGGGGGTGGCACCTCCACACAGAATGATGTAGGTGGGGATGGTCTGACAGGCAAGGATGGGCCCACAGAGGCCGACCAATTCTCACATCTGGTGTCTTTATTTTGCTTCTGTTGCTCCAGACCAGAGCATTTCTTTTGTTACAGCCTCTTGCAGGCAACGCAGGCTTCTTCTGGCTGGTGAGTCGCACTGGGCCAGGGAAAAGTCTGGAGTCAGGGAAATTAGCCAGTGAGTAAAACCCAGAGTAATTCCCAGCAGACAGGGCAGCAGTTCCCTACCTTGTATTCCTGGGCAGCCTCCGCTATGGGCAGCACCGTGTGCGCGCGGTGAGCCCGGGACCTGTCGCAGACCACGCAGATGGGGGCTTGATCCTCCTCGCAGAACAGCTTCAGCACCTCCTGATGCTCCTGACACACCCCACCCTTGCACGCCCCCTTCACTGCCTGCAAACTCAGCTGTTTGACTAGTTCTACCATGTTTGCCAGCTGCCTGTTGGGCCGGAGGGGGCCCTGCTGCACAGAGGCCCTGCACTGCGGGCAGGAGGGAGCTGGGCCGGGTCCCTCCCAGCACCTTCTGAGGCAAACGCGGCAGAAATTGTGCCCGCAGGCTGTGATCACCGGGTCCCTGAAATACTCCAGGCAGAGGGGACACGTCGCTTCCTCCTGCAGGCTTTTTACAGGGCTCGCTGCGGCCATGGCTCCTCCAGGCTGGGGAACAGGGTTAGTTTCAATTTCCTGAGCTCAGCCTTTGCCCCGCCTCCAGCTACAACTGGCTGTGCCCCTCCCTGAAGTTGACTCAGGCTGTTTGCTGGATTGGAAAGAGCCAATGAGGACAACACAGCTCTGGAGGCTTTGGGGAGAAATGTCCCACTAGGGCTCTGGCTCTGGTACCTGCCCCGGGGCCAGTGTAGAGGGTCCCTGGGGTGTCACATGTTCCCCAGAATCGACCAGGCTGGGCTGCTCAGCTCCCAGAACTGTGCCTATAAGGAGTGAGAGTGAATCTTGTGCAGAATTCCTTGTGTTTGATGTTGACAGATAAAGTAACAGTTGAGTATTTTTAGGGATCTAGTTACATGCTGCAAGTTGCACAGTTTTACCATGTTCAATTTTCACAGCATTGGGAAAAGATAGGGGAGGGGCAGGCAATATATGGCTCAGACAGCAACTATTCAGTGACAGACACTGAGATTCAAACAGGAAAAACTTTATTATTAAACCACAAATTGTCAATGTGACTCTCAAAATAGACTAAGTGTAAGTCCTTCAATGCTAAGAAGTTCTCAAACAGGCTACTCTAGTTCTTTCTGGGCCTGTGTGTAACTTTCAGTTCCTATGAAAGATTTTTCCATCAGTTTGTGAATGGACAGTGAAATCCAGGTTCAGTGGAGTGTAAGGATAAAAGCCTGCCCCCTCCCAAGTCCAGTGACATTCGGTTCACAGTCCAAGAACTTATTCCAGCTGGAATCCATGTTTCAGAGGCCTGATTCTGAAGTGCGCTAAGGCTGCTCTGGCTCCTTCTAAAGGAGCCTCAGTGTCAATAGCACTGCTAATATTAGGCTATGTCTACATTGGCCCCTTCTCGGGAAGAGGCATGTTAATTTCCAACTTCAGAATAGGGAAATCCGCAGGGGATTTGAATATCCCCCGCGGTATTTAAATAAACATCCGGCTTTCCCCCAAGCCGGAAAAAAAGCGGCGGACATGTTTATTTAAATACCGCGGGGGATATTCAAATCCCCTGCGGATTTCCCTATTCTGAAGTTGGAAATTAACATGCCTCTTCCGGAGAAGGTGCCAATGTAGACGTAGCCTTAATGACTTTATGGGTCTCATGCACACAGGAGCGGCCAGGCCGGGTCAGACCAAAGGCCCCTCCAGCCCAGTGTCCTGTCTGCCCAGTGCCCAGTGCGGGTGCCCCAGGGGAATGAACAGAACAGGGATCCCCAGTGACCCGCGCCCTGTGGCCCATTCCCAGCCTGCAGAGCCCGGGGCATTTCAGTGACGCTTTGCAGGGTATCGGGGTGTCTGTCAAAGAGGAAGTGGGTCTGGCCCACG